AATGGAGAGCGAGGCACCGAGGCCCTGTGGCTGCCTCCTCCACGGGAGATTGACCCGACACGATAGCAGAAAAAGGAGAACGGACGGTTGCTGCACGTTCGCGATGACAGATTGATACAATTCCATCGAGAGATTCCCAGCGACAGATTTTCTACCAACTGTTGTTGCCCTGCGTTCGTTGCTGGTCATTACGTCGAATTAAAGTTGCCGGGGGTGGGATGATGAATAGACCATGACGACAGACGGATTCCGATTTCGTTTGAAAATTCATTCTTCAACCTGTTAGCTTCGATCACCGAACTACCGAGTCCGATTCTAGATTTTCTTCTTTCGTTGAAATGTTTCGCAGAATTGTTTGAACAGTTTGTTGGATCATTTAAGTTGAAGTTGAACGCCGAGTTAAAATTTAATGATAATCTTAATATGATCAATTCAGCAAGTTAATTTCGAATTTTGGTATTTTGATCTCAACTGTATGTTAGACTGCGTGATTGACGGGGATGAGAATTATTTATAATTCCAAAAATCAAGTGGAAATTGAATTTTAAAACTCATTGCAAGAAATTTGTCGTGTAATTCGACAAATTCGTTCTAAAAAGTGTTATAAGCGACAACCAGATGAAACCATGGTATTGCAGTTGAAATGTCACGTAAGCGTAAGAATACGAGCGACGTATGAATTCGCCATCGGTTAACAGGTTAAGACGCAGGCCAGATAAAAGAGATATCCACGGACGAAACAACAGGAAGTCGAGGGAGTGATCCTCCCTTAGGCCTTGGTGGTATCGACTCGGTGAAAAGCCGCAAGAAAGGGCGAACGCGCGAGGCACACGCGAGGCCGTGACGTCTCGGGGGTTGCGTCGAGGAGGAAACGAGAAGAAGGAGGCTGTGAAGCCGGCGTAAAGCCCTCGGGCGAACCTCGCTCCTTATCGATCTGCCCCTGAGACTTCCTCCGCGGCCGAAAGGAGGAAGGCGTTCTCTCCGAGGGAAACGCAGAGAGACAGAGAGAGAGAGAGAGAGAGAGAGAGAAAGAGAGACGGGCCTCTACACGTTCGCTTCGGTTTTCTCTATGTGTATGTACGTAAGATAGACCTCGGGCTTAGAGCCGGCTACTCGAGCGTGACTCCGCACCCGAAGCCGAGCCTATCAATATTTCCTCCGAAAATTCGCCGCGATACCATCGCAGCAATTTCTCTTTCCTTGCTTTCTCTTCCCTCCGATTCTCCGCGACATTTTTCCCTTCGTTTATTAAAAAAAAAAAAAAAAGGAAGCTTGTGCTCACTGATGACAAATTACTCGAGGTTTCATCGTATATTCGTATTGGAAGCGTGGAGTTTACTACATGCGTTAATGTACATTGTTGAATCGCATTTATTCGTATACTTCGATTTCTAAGTATTTGCTCTGGTATTAAATAATTGTCAAGATTGAAATTGAATTGGTCATTTTGACCAATAATTTAATTCCAATGTTAACATTAGAACTATTAATACTTTGTAGGTCATGTCGCACAAGCACTTGTCAGAAAATCAATATTGTTTCGTTGTAACGTGCTAATCATAATTCACAGTCTTATAATAATCTGAAATTGGATTTCGTTTTTAGAGTTTTGCGTTCGTTTGCGTTCGTGATCCCTCGATCACTTGTTCTTTACATATTTTATTCCATCGTTAATAAAGACTAGTAATGAATAGTGAATAATAAGATATCCTGTAATGTTAACAAAACTCGCAATTATACTTTCTTTTAGCTTTTTAAATTTAAACTAGAAACACGCGGAACATTGAAAACGTTCCGAGTGAAATCAATGACTATGGAAATCGTTGATAAAAAGAAATTCGAGAATTAAAGGCTGGCAAGGTAAACGAATAAAGGGAGAGGAAAAGATTGCTCGGTCGATTCAGCAAAGTAGAAACAAGGCTTGGAAACAGTTACCGTCCAATCTTGGCCGCATTTTTCGCCTGTTTTTCCGCCGCGTCCCTCGATCCCTGGGTTGATAGTCGCAGGATATATATCTGTTATTTTTCGCAAAAGCCACTCCATTATTTCGCTCTCCTCGGCCGTTGCTTTTTTACCGCGTGTGGCCACCAACCCGTCGTCCCGGTTCCTTTCTCTCTGTGTCTCTCTCTCTCTCTCTCTCCGTGTATCCCGTGTTCCGCGGCCCGGTCTCATTCCGAAGTGCCCCGGCAAAAGCAGGACAATACATTATATTAGCCGTATCATTATTTCTCCGTACGAAAGCTAGCTCGAAGGCTAGAAAAACCGAGACACGCTCATAATGGGAGAAATCCCGGCGTTGCCTGCTCCGCCCTCACCCTCGCGTTCCGCGTCCCGTTTTCATCTTTCAACCGGAGAGACCTCGCCACGGAATCGTTTTCTCCGTTTCGTTTTGTCTTTCCCCCGTTTCGATATTTTGTAAACGATCCGTTTGGCTCTGTCGTTTCTCCTTCGACAACGAAAGCGTCCAAAATAGCCAAACTGACAGACATGTTCTGCAGAAATTTCGAAGATTCGCTTGAGAGGGAATTTTAAATTAAAAGTTCCCTCTGACACGTTTGAAGTGTACGGTCAAAGGGACGAAATATTTCACAGAAATTTTTATTTGACGCTGCGTGAAAATTTATAGGAGAATGCGGAGGGAAATGAAATATCGTTTGGAAGAGTATCGATTGATCGTAAGGTTGACTCTGGTATTTTTAAAATGTTTCGTTTCATCAAACAATCAGATCGTTTTTCTAATCCCCCGATTGAAATACGCCGCCTTGGCGGAAGAATATTACCATCGGAATGATTTTAAAATTTTCGTAGCGTACATCGATCGGTGAATCGATTTTCACGGCGATCAATCGGCGTGAACAATCACTTAAGGGTATCCGGTGGCGCGCGTTTTCCGTTTCGTGCATTTCACGTAGCGGTGCATCGCCGCGTTTCTATCCATTGCTCGGGCGAGCGGAAATACATTTACCTACACGTAGACGCCAGCCGGAAGGTTGCGGGTCTCGGTGTACGTGAGTGGGTGAAGCTAGGTTAGGATAGGTGCATGTAGATAGCGAAAGGTGGGTAGGTAAGTATCCGCGGGGTAAGTTTTTCCAGGCGATCTGCTCTCTCCGGATTCAGATCAATACCCGCCATCTGGGCCTTGGTTCGATGGAAGGAAAAGGGCAAGGAGGAAAAGGAGAAGGTTCGACAGAGAGGAAGGATGACAGGATACAGGTTGGAGAGAGACAGAGGGATAGAGTAGAGAGAAGGCGGAGGAGTCACTCGAGCAACAAGCCACCGCTCGCCGCACCCTCCGCTGCAATTCTAGACACATCGGAAAACCTCGGCCAGAAAGCAATTCCTGTATCTCTACGTACGCCTGCGTTTCACGATGGCGTGGCCATCGTGACACCATCCACGTCCTTCACACGGAAGAATGGAAATCGCGCGCGCGCGCGCGCGGACAAAAATCCTTTACAGATGATCTTTCCTTTGAAATTCTTCCTTTCGAATTCGGTGGCGGAAAATTGTCGTAATTTAGAAACTGACATCTCGATTCGGATAAATGAGAGAGAAATGAAACTTCTCCTCCGTCATTTGATTAATAGATCGAAAATAAGACCATAGATTGAAAATAAAAGTCTTCGGGATTCTTCGATCCAAGTCTGTCAAGTATGCAACTTCATCGTTTTGTCACCGCTCGGGATTCTAAATATTTCTGACTTTCGTCAAACATGGGCCATCTAATCCTCGACTTTTGGTCGATTAATCGTCAATTAATCCAAGTGAAGCTGTAAATACTCGAATACACCTAACGAGAACCAGCTAATTTGCGTGCGTGTCCATTAACACCGGCCACCAGTGGAAATCGCGTTAGTGGATTTCACTTGTGCCGGACGATTCGATCCGCGTTATGCTCGATTACATTATCAGCCCTGCGGCGTGTTCGAAAGAGGCGGAGGGCGAAGAAAACGAGAATGAAAACTACTAGCTGCGTACGGGGAGCGTCGGATAAAGCGGCAGATAAGGTCTTAAGTAGCGACTGATTAAATCTCGGGACATATGTGTGCCGATCAATGGTTCTCTCCCTCATTGCTCTCTCTCTCTCTCTCTCTCTCTCTTTCTTTTCCTCTGCCAGCTTTTCTGTTGCTCGAAAAGGGGATCCACTCGTTCAGTTTGCGCGGTGCTGATACGCTGTAATGCCGTCTCATGGGAGATCTCACTCCCCGGTTCCATGGGGCATCATCCCTTTATCCGTGGATACTCGTGTTCCTAGCCACGCCACCCCGTCCCACCCCCTTCCCTCTTGGTCGCTCGATCTACTGGGCGACGTAAAAACACTTGAATTAATCGGCCCATTCCCGAAGGAACCTGCGAAAGGTCAATAGGATCGGGAGGGGAGGGGGTTGGTGGTGGTGGTGACGCGGACCGGTTTTCCGTACGCGCTTATCTCGATGCACGAAACTCGGGGGGATGATTCTTCCTCGCCTGCGAGGATAACTAATCGCTGCCATTGCCAATCGCGCCAAGCATATGCTCCGGTTCGCACCCCCGCCCCCTCCTCCTCCCCGCTTTCTTCAATCGTTTTCCGCGATAAATTTCGTGTGTCTCGACGATCAATTTGGCGAATGGCGACGGAGAACGAATTTGAGTGTGACTCGAGAGGGTGTTAGGTTCGAAGGAGATTTCTTTTTGGTATGAAATGAATTCTTACTAATTTCAGATAATCTTGCGTTGACTTAATCGATTGAGTTTGCTTATCCAAGAACTGAGTCTGATTCGATGATGCAGATATTGACACAGCTAACGGGAAATTATTACGTTTCTACATATATATCAAAGTCGAATATAGACAACTCTGAGAAAAAGGGAAAAATTCATTTGAATGAATAGCGACGAGAAATTTGTCCCCATTTAAATTTCCATTTTTATTTTTATTTAAAGATCCTCTAGCTTTATGATGTAATTTTAGAGGAACTAAATGTGATTTTCGACGAATTTGACGTGAACTTTGAACTCACCGATTGATCGAAGAGACGGATGGCACGTTGTCCTGCGAGCAAATGCCTTCAGCGAGCAATCGATCCCTGATCTCCCACGCGAACATCGTCGGATTGTCCCTCTTGTAATTAGCGATCGCCTCGACAACCGGCGGCGTCGCCACCTTCGGCTTCGAGCCACCTATCACGCCAGCCTTGAAGCTGCCGGTTTCGTAATACCTGTGAACAAGAAAAGAAACCAACTCGATGGATCTATGTCGCGATTTTGTTACATTCTATATGTCTACGATATCGCGAACTCTTCAAACTATATATCACATTCAGAAATCTTTGTGAACCAATCGGAAATTCGACTCCCAGTGCGTTTCTAGAAACTATCGTAGGGATGTCAGGTTGCAATTCGTTCAGGATTTTTGAGAACAGCGAGTGAGACGAAAATTTGAGAAACAACGTAATAGATAGATCTTGGATCTCTCTGTGTGACTTTAACTTTTCAAATTAAATTGAATGCATTCTATATTTCCTGTGATTAATCCGAAAATAAAGACGTTAGACCGATATAAAATTCCTTCTCTTCTCAATTACATAACTTAAAAACGCAGACAATACAAAAAATGATCACACACATTGTGGTGAAGGTGTATCCTTCGTCGTCCACGATTTAAATTCCCGTTGCAGTCGCCGGCGAGTCTTGAAAGCTCGCGATACCAATCGGAAGGAAATGCAGCCGATCCCTATTTTTCACGACCGAGTGGAAATCAAAGGGAGCGAGAATGGCGAAAGAGAGGAACGGGTCGTTTTTCCCGCGACGTGCGGCCAATGCCGGAATAACGAATCGCCGTCCAGCCGGCGCGTCAACGACCGGCTGTTTTAAAACAAACGGCTTTTGCCTTCCATCCTGTATCTCTCTCCTCCATCCTCCCTCCCCCTCTTTAACCCCTTTCTCTCGTGTTCTCTCTCTCTCTCTCGCTGTTTCTCCCTCTTCTTTCCCTCCCATCGAGCCCTCCCGGCCGCGTGTATATGCGCGCACCGATGGCCAATCGCGATTGGCCCGCCGTGAACGCGCCCTTTGTGCCTAATTAGTTAAATAATATCTTCGCTGGTGCTTAAATTCAATTACGGCAGAAAGCCCGCAATAATGGTCCGCTTGTGGGCCGCCTTGATGGATGTGGGTCCGCCGCCGGCGTCGACTCATGCTCGTTCAAACTGCCAGCCAATTTTGTGCTGTTCTCTCTCTCTCTCTCTCTCTCTCTCTCTCTCTCTCCTTCTCTCTGTCTCTCTTTCCATCGCTTTTCTCGTTCATCGTTTGTTTCGTAAAGGGAAAAAAAGGAAAGGGAAAAAAATATTGTCCGGTGAAATACATCTGGTGTCGTTGTCCACTCTCGATACGTTTCTTCCGAACACGATACATTCGAGGTGGAGGAAGGGTAGTGTCGGTTGACGTGTATGAGGTACGCGGCTTGTTCTAAAGCGTGAGAAGTTGATTCGAGCTGGCTCGAATCAACGCGAAGATCGTAATTGCTGGTAGAAATTAGTGGTACGTGAAAAAAATCGGTCTTCTCTAATAGCATAGATTTGGTGGGAGAGGGGGGGGGGGGAGAAAGTGGTTGTAATTGAGAATCGGTCTTGAAGAAAATTTGAAATTTGAATTTGCTATTATCAATTTCTTTTTACGTTCTCTTAGAAGAAGAGGTAATTTTTATATGAGTCTTATTTTTGAGATGTATGCACTTGATGTACCCACGAATTTTCTCATTCTAACAACGATTATTTAATTGACATTAGAATATTAATAATAAGTGTTAACCAGTAGCGTGTATTGTACATATTTATTTCTTTAATTATTTGTTTACTGCTACCTTTGTGCTTGTCAAATAATATAATTCTCAATGTTCACGATCATTTGAATTTAAATGATAGGTTTATTATGATTATTATATTAATTAATAAATATAAATAAATAAAATTTTATAATAAATATTAAAATTATATTATAGTAATAATTTAAAATTAATAAAATTATTTATAATTAAAGTAATGAGAATGAATTTTTTTTTTAAATTATAAGTAAAATATAATTTGTACCTTTTGTATCAGGACTAATTAATTAATTTTAATAATTTAATGATCTCGAAAATAAATGATCTTAATCTATATAAATATTATTATTTTTGTTAAATAAAAAAAATAAATATATATTTAGAAATTAAATGTTTGTTGTATTTATTGATATCTAGTTTTTTTTAAAATAAATAACAACGTATATCACTGAGAATATTCTGTATAATTTAGCAAGAGGTAAACGAATTTAAAACATAATCTAATCGTTGATAGAAGGGGTGGAGGTAACTGCTTGTATCGTACGTTAAATCATGTCACGATGCATCATTCGGCAATATTCACCCTAAACAAAAAATGACGGTGAACCTGTTACAATCGAAAGCGTCGGAGGGGTCTTTTAAACGATCCACGCTATGCCGCCCCGTTTCGAAATTATTACGATTATATCTGGCGTAAAACCCCATTCCCGGTCCGCACGTCCCTACCATGAAATGCCCATTACGTTGCGCGATTTTTCGAAATCGACCAAATTACCATCGTTCACCCTAACTCGCATTAATTTCTCGATTTTCAGTTCAATCGTCGATAGACTAAGCGTAATTTTTCTTTTATAGAGTGCTGTTCTATGGCAATGGCAAACTGTTAAGGGGCGGACGATGTCAGCCATCTTCGGGTGAGTTGAAATTTCTGTGGATTGTAGTTTAGAAAATTTTGAAAAATTTGCCCATTTCTTATGAATTGTAATTTTGGAATTTTGTATTTGATAATTCTATATTTTTCAAGCACCATCTTTTCGTATTTTATATTATATTAATGGTCAAATGGTGATTTAGAATATTTTAAAGAATTCTACATTAATGAAAACAAATTATGTTTCGCTAACATTGGGGCCAAATTTCTATTAAAATTTTTTGAAAAAAATCAACGTCGGTGAATGGAGTGATCGTTAAAGAAACGTTTCTCGAAAACGTCGTAAAGTGTTACTTTGTGCATTCGCCATGATAGACAATGTTTCACTGTCAAACGAGAGCTGACACGTACTTTTCAACACCGTCTCCGTAAACCTTCAGCTACCCAGGGACCGGCGTTTCCGTTTCGTTTGTAAGTACGCGTCGAAATTGTCGCGATTCCGCGAAAATCCGGGGCATACGATGTCGCGACGTATCAGTGGCGCGTGACTGCGTAAAGCTTAGGCGTTAACAGCGTCTCGTCGTCGAACTCTGAGACCGTTTTCATCATAGTTTCGCCGGAAAAAATGACTATAAAAGTCACAACTGTACGAATAGTAAAAACAAAAAGTCCATGTGTCGTTTGAAATGATATTCGACAGTGTTTAGAAATGAAGGAAGAATATTTGAAAATAAATAATTTAGCATCTACTGCGATGAAAAGTTTACGCAGATAGACTGGAAATTTTTATGCACTTGTGAAAAAGAAAAATTTGAAATTTGCAAATATATATTAAAAATTTATATATATATATATTAAAATTTAATGTTTAGTATATTATTTAATGTTCCACTTATCACTTTTCAAGTTATATTCGTAAAAGTATGAATCTCTATAAATACTCGTCATCTAAATGTAAATGTACAAACACCGCATTTTCTCTTTGATAATAAATTTCTTTTCTTCAACATTTACATGTTTAAATTGCAAGAATAGAACTTTTATTCGTTCACTTTCTTCGGAGAATTATTCGCGACGTTTTTCACTCGAATTAGAAACTTCACCGCTAATTGTAACAATCTCTGATGAAACACGGCACGGTGAACTATGAATTCCATCGGTAGTTTCTAAATTTTAATTGACCACCGTGGATCCAGAAAAAGACGAGAAGTATCAAGGAAAAAAGTAACAGCGATTGCTTCATCCTAGTTGGTTTAATTTATTCTCACTTGGTGAGAATTTTTTTTTTCGTATAAGCGATTAGGAAATCGATTGCGAAACATTTGGTCGTTGAACCGCGCGCGTTTTCTTTCCAACGTTTGATTCACACGTTGCTCGCCATCGCGACTTATCGATCCCGTCGGCTGTAAATCCATTGAAAAATAAGTGCATCGTGCTCGATGCTCGACGTTAATATAGCTGTTAATTTCTGTTTATAACACATTGCCGTTAATATCGTCGTGCAATAAATCGTTCGGACGTAGCGCGTTTGATTAAAATCGTCCCCCGATTTACGATTAATCGTCGACGTAGTGGCAATTTCCTCCAAATGAATTTCCCTAATTTTCTACGTTCAGCTCGCTCGCGCGCGAAAATTTCTATAACGATCCCCCGTCTGACGCTGCTGAAACGAAAATTTTTCATATTTTTCATATTTATTTGTCGTCAATGGAAGCGTCGTAAGTGAAGAGCGTTAAGTAGAATGGGTATCTAGTGGTCAGACGCCAGACTTGCTGATGACCACTAAATCTGTGATACGTAAAATATTTGAAACAATGAATGGTTGGTTTCTTAGAAAATTGTGGAATTCCTGCAGATACTACTTATTATGCTGCATTTATTATCCTGTTATGTGACATTATTATTCTGCATAAATATTATATGAAATTTTGGAATTTTTAAATCTGGTATAAATTCTTCGAATAATATATATATAGAAGTGGAATAAAACCGAAAAATCTATAAAACTTTCAGACGATATAAATGTTGCAGGACATTTTGGAATTTTTACCCTTCGACAGTTTTCGATTTCGGAGCGTCTTAATATTTTCAGAAGCACAGAAATCCCCCCGCGAAGCTTTAACCTCACTTTGTCGAATATAAATTTCGCCCCTCGAAACTTTTATTTATCGCTTCCTCAATAAAAATTTCCGCACTCGAGACGCTTTCAAAATTCGCCGGACACTACTTCAAAAATCCCCTCGTCCCAAGAGATACTTATCGAAACGAGTGATTTCACATTTCCGAGCGCGTCGACGACAATGCACGGTTCAAATTCGGAGAAAAAAAGAAGATAGGAAAATCGAAAGGGACGCGGTAACCCGAGAGGCAATAAAATAGTAAATAATTCAACTTGCCTATTAGATGTATATATATATACATATACACACGTACATACATACATATATCGGAGTTATACGTGAAAGAGCCTATAACTATATGCGACAATGATATTCTACTGGCGGGGACGTATGACATTCGGGCCATCAAAACGGCACGAGGCCACCCGTTACGTAATGCGGGGTGGAGGGTGGAAAAAACATGGAAACCGCATATCGTCGCACCCGCTGGCACCCCACATCGCGGCCGGAAGAGGGGTGGTTCCTTCCTTCCGGCGTCGCAGTTTTCGTCCCCGAGTTCGTTCGCCTCGTGCTTCTAACAGCGTCTTTAATTAAATCACTCCCGAACCAGGAATAGTCTAGTTTTGTTTTTTTTTTCTTCTCCTCGACTCCTCGTCTCTCTTTCTTTCTCTTTCTCCCTTTCTCTCTTTTCGCGTTCGATTTTTCACGTCTTTAGATCGTTTCGTCTTTTTATAGGGGCGAGCGAGCCACTTTGGAATTGCGCGCGGAAATTACAGCGTTACGTCTGCCATGGCAAGCTTGATCTTGCGTTAAATCATTCGCGCCGTTGTGTCTCTGATTTTTTTGTCTCGGGCAGATTGCTTAACTGTAGCACGGGTGTCTTCCTCTTTTCATTTTCGTTTGCCGAGCGACGGAAATTTTGCGATAACTTTCAGAAAAAGCGTACTGGAGCGTGGGCTTTTTGATTTGTTTCTGCGAAGAGTTCTTTTGAAGGATTGGTAGTAGAATTGTGAAATAAAATTTTTTAGATGACATATCTATTGTGTGTTTCTCTTTATGGACGTAGAACGAAACGGAAGAGTCTAATATCATATCTTAAGATGACGTACATGGTGATGCAAGTAGAATATTGATATAAAATCTTTAGGTAACACGCATACGTCTAACTGTAGGTAGAATAAAAATTCTTCAAAATAACACATACATCTGTATTGAAGTGGAATAAAATCGGAGAATCTAATATAAAAGTTTTAGATAAGAAATACATATCTCCGTGCAAGTAGAATAGTTAAACTCGTGCAGCGAGTGTTACATTCGTGTCTTGACAACCTCTGCCTTAATTTTTATTAAATTGTCTATCAGTAATAATAAAGAATTTCAAAGATCTCCACAGGCTTTAAAATTTAAAAAAAATCATCGATCTTTTTTCACGACGAACATTTAAAATTAAACTTGGTATCAGACAAGATTCTAACTAATGAAACTTTAATAAATTAACGCAAACTTTTCAACTTTTCATCTACACCTCTCAGAACATTTATTGTTGTCAAACAGAAAAGCTTCAAAGAATCTCTTCCACCAACCACCCACTGAAACTTGCGTTCTCTCACCCCCCTTAAACACGCGTTCACTCAGTAATTCATCGACGAATCGATCCCACAAGGATCATACAGCCGACGTGCAGCAAGACGGACAGAAGGACGAAGGAATCGATCGAGGAAATCGTCGAAGCGCCAAACGAGGATAGAGCAAAAAGCAAGTACTGTCGCCGTCGGAACAGTACGACGGTGGCTGCGGTTGTAACGGATACGACGGGGGTCTGGATGGCGCCGGAACGGTGTCGGTACTCACCTCGACAGTATCTTGGATACACAGCCGTGAGATACCCTGAGTTGTCTGGAAATGTCGCACGGTCGGACGCCGCTGTGCGCTAGCTCGACGATCCTCTGCCTCACTACATCCGGTAGGGGCCTTCCGTTCACGAAGACGCCGCCGAGCTGGTTAACTCCGCCGTGGCCTGGAAAATGGAAATCGATAATGCATTAGCTCGAGGGGCCGAACTTACGTGATCGTGGTACCATCGTTGCCGATCTTTGCGATTAACTTCTACAGTGTCGCAGATATTGTCCTCGAATTTTTTCATCAAATCTCTGGACTTTTGAATTTCTATTCCTTTTCATTTCTTTTTTTGAGATTTTAATTTCAATTCAGGGCTCTTGTTTCGCTTTCCCAAATATTTCTACTGTTTGCGTTCGAAGTTTGAGCTTGTTAGGGTAGGTTTAATTTGCTTGGAGGTATGAATAAGTTTCAATAAGTTTTAGTAATTGTTCTTCTCAGTAGCGTTTAAGTTTCTTTTTAAAGTGTTTAAGTATCTCTTCTTTTAATTACAACAGTCCTTTCTTAAGTTTCTTTTAACGCTCTAACGTGTTGATACAAAATTGAAGTACAAATGTTTCAAGTTTGAAAACTAGAAATCACTTAAAGTATAAACAGGATCAGCGTAATAACTTCAAACAAGGGTTGAATCATTCTAAACTTCGGTGATGTACATTTTCTATTTTAGTAAAATCTGTGTGCCGCATTAGTAGTGTTAGTGTCAAATTCGTGTGGTTCCTATGTCTCGTCATTCTACTAATTTTGAACAAACAAAAATTATGGAAAATGATCGAATAATTTAGAAATAGATAAATCGATTAAAAAAATATAAAGAATATATCAACAATACGTGTTTTATGAATGAGTTTAATGATGCTGTCTACGATGATCGTATAGTAATTTATATATTAATTTCATTGCATATAACCTATTCGATCCTTTCGTCAAATCATTCAGGAAAGGAGCAAAATACAGACGAACAAAATACGATATGAACTGACATCTTGTAATTCATCGATCCGTTCTTTTCCCCCCGATTCCTCTTCGAACCAGTGCACTTGCTAATAATGAAAGCAACGTGTGCCCGATCATTCGATTTTCCATCCGACGCGCTACTGTTACTTCTCTCTTCGCAGCACGACTCTATTTTCGCGTATTACGGCCCTCTAACGCGCTAACTTCGATCTAATATCGTAATGGAGGGTCCTGGACCGCGGCATATGTCCTCGTGTACGTGCCAGTGCACTGATGATTCGATGATCCAATCGTCGCTGTTTCTAATCCCTAACACCAGTTGACTAACAGAGACTAGACTCTGTTATAGTCTGTGATGGGTCACGCGAGTCATTCCCTTGCTCGCCTCTTTCTGCCCGGTCAGTCGATTTCTTCTGGCGACGCAGTTAATGCAGATCAGAGTGAATCGTTGAGGGGATAAAAAGAAAGGAAGGAAGGCTCGCGATAATGGCCGACGTTCGACTTAACGTGCTCCAATAACGCAGTAGAGTATAAAGAGATTGATACGAATCTTCTCGTTGTCGTGTCTGTCTACGATAGCGTTATTCTACTGGAAAATTAATTGCACGTTTGTCTCGCAGTTGTTCAACTTTCACCAGACGCAGAGGATGCGCATCTGTGTATTTACACAAAGTGATTCAAAAAAATTGATCCGATCAAGCCGATTTATCATTAATTTTTGCTAAACAAACCGAATAAATTTTTTCTAATTCCTAAAATCATTTTATAGTATTGTTTTCAATGAAATAAGACGTCAGAAGAATAAAGATAATTTCATTTAAAATCTCCGAGTTCATACGATCACTGTGTTTAATAGATTACTGTTTTCAGTTACTGAAATTATCTTTTGTTTCGCTTTTGCTCAAGTTCAATTTCATGCGTGAAGAAATTAATCGCTGGATTGCGTGATAAAGTAAAAAGGCTTTCAAGAAATCATGGGACAAACTTTCAACTGCTTTATACTCGATAAATCAGTTTGAAATGCGGAGTGTCCAGCTCTGCTATTAACACTTTGACTGTCGTTTAAATTCGTGCGTTTTGCCAAGAACGTCAGAGCGCTATCGCTTATTTTAACATGACGCGTAAATAACTCGCAAATATAACGTGTACTTTCAACAAACAAAATCCCCCAAATATTTCCTGCAATACACGTTCAGTTTCTACAGTTTCGATTAAAAAATATTTAAATTAAACACTTTCAATCGTATCTACAATACTTTCAATGCTACGTGTATAGGTATCGAACGCATTGAAAAGCTTTAAATGTACCGTGAAAAGTACAAGATCAAAAGATCCACCTCATCGCCATTTCCACTTTCCTGGAAATTAAAACACCGCCGTAAAAACCCCCCATTACGAAATAAACAAAATTCAAATCCCTTCGAAACATTCAACGAAAGCTCTTCCCTTAGCAAACCGGGCACGCGTGCTCGTAGCCAAACAATCGGAGCTAATTACCGCGATGATTCGGCCATTCCGATGAGAGAAGCATCATTGTTACCGAAACGAGGCGCGCTGCGACGCGTGAACCACCGATTCTCCTTTTTTTTATCTTTCTTCCTCCATCCTCTCTCTCTCTCTCTCTCTCTCTCTCTGTCTCTCTTTCTCTCTCCACCGGTAGCCGAATACGATCACGACGCGGCAAGACAATGAAGGGATCGGCGATCATTACTAGAAACGATACGCGCTTTCCGGTCGCAAATCAATTCGCTCTCGCGTTTATGGTCGCATCCCCGCGGCGTGGCCGGTAGTCAGGGGGATAGTCGCGCTTGGAATCATGGTGGCGCGGGGTGTAAAAGCACCATGACCACCCTACGCGGTGCACGCACGCCGTCACGCCTGCTGACCGCAACTATACGATGGGACCTCGGTTCGAGAGCCGTGGATTCGAGAGAGCCACCACCCCCTCGGAGGCCGAATCGCAGAGTTACCAGTGCTACGAATTGTCGTGTCGTTGCTCTATTTCTCTCTCTCTCTCTCTCTCTCTCTCTCTCTCGTAGCAACCGCGTCACCAACGCTTATTATTGTCTCTCGGTTACGTTTCTACCCTCTGAATCTCCGACTATGACACCATAGTGCGCTGTCGTGCGTTTCGTTGCTTGGACGCTTGTTAACTTTGAGGTTTGTGCTTTCTGGTTCTTTCTTCTGGGCGTTTCAAACGAGAGCGAATGGCCAACGAGAATTTGGGTTTCTCATGTCATTAATAGACCGCGTGTTTAACTATGATCCGAGTGATACTTTCCATTGCCAATGACAGTTGAATAATTCAAGTCGAGATATTTGAATAGTTCGAATAGTTTGAATAGACTTGGTAGTCGGGAGAAATTGGTCGGCTTTCTAGTTATCCATAGCGATTTTATTCGATGGCAAGAATGACGGTACAAATAAAATGTCGATAAAAATATAACAATTGTCGATAAAAATATAATATTTGTAAATATATTTTCTCTTCAATCATCATATCATAGTGATCCGATGCATCACTCCGATGCAACGTAAATTTGAGTAACACAGAGAATTGTATTTATAAATTTCACTACTCACCGTTAAACTTGTCATCTATAAGAATTTTCTACAGTAAATATTCGAATCCCAAGTTTACATTTAAATTTCACTTGCTGTAACAATCAAGAGTGATTATTATCGACAATCAGACAAGTATTAATAATTACTGATAATCAGACGCTCTCAATGATTAATTAATCGCGTTTGAGCGGCACCACGCGAGAATGAATTCGACGTCAGTTCGTCAGAAACAGATATTTTCATGGAGAAAAGTAAGAAAATTGCGAATACGACGCGAGCGAGCATCAACGAGGAACCGAGCGCGCGTTATAGATTCCCGACTCTCGGTCACACGATATTTCTCCAGCAGCTTTGTTCCTGTATTACATTACGGTCTTGGCGTTACGTATTGCCGGGCCGCGCGTTGGAAACACGCTAGACGTTTATTACTCGTTCGCTTGAAAAATACGCGGGGGAGTGCGGTGCGTTGCTCTTATTTTTCAGAAATTCCAACCCCGATCGGTCGTGTGTCTGATTTAATAGCGCAAGCATTACAAGCGGACAAAAATTGATTTATTAGCCGATTTTTATCTTTTTTTTTTTTTCTGTTTGCGGGAAAAATTTTGAAGATTCACCGCGTGACGTATTTATTTTTAGGTCGAACGTAGATGTTTGTGGGGATTCAGAACGCGAACGAAAATTTGTTTCGGTTCTTTAGTACTTCCGTGGAGCAATTCGTTTTGAATATTTTCTACATTATGTAGTATTATGTGTGCCTTAATGCCACACACTCGATATACTGATACTTTATTACGTTCCGTTCTTTTCGGTAATACATATTCTTGCCCTGCGAATATCGATTCGACAGGACTATGTTAGTTTCGTGTTATAAATAAAATTTTTGGAAATATCGTTCGAAAAGTTTCGACCACCTTGTCAATTTCGGATGAAGCTCTCTTTTCCCTCGACAGACAAAATTATTTTTATTAAAGTTACTCGTATTCATTTGTAAAGTGTCACTGTTCACAAGTTGACATTTGCAATTTACACGTCTGTTTATCTTCTGACGAACGTAACAAATGCTCCAGACTGAGATGAAACATTAGCTTTTCAAACTCTAATCCAGCTGTAACATAACAAAACAGCAGAAACTAAATTCGAAATTTCAAACTGCCTTAATCGTGCACGAATTAAGAACATCTTCGCGACACAAAACAACTGAAACACACAAATCGTTGATTCGTTTCACTTGCCCAGCTGTGATCATTTTTCCGATCTTGAAACGTCCGGCAAATTCAGTGCGCAATTACACGGATAATTTTGCTCGTTGAACGAAAGGGATTGGCTGACTGGTCGCGGAACGATTCAGCTGCGATGCACGCGCGTTGACCGCACCGTTCTTGTTAATGTTTCATAATTATTATCATGCCATTAGTTCGAACGGAACCGGCGGACGGCTGCGGCCGCATCGTTTCCAAAACGACGGCCGTGGTCACCTAATTAATACGTTTCCAACCAGCAATTGGACGAAATCGCGATCTAAAGAGATTCGACTTGCTATTTTTCCTCTCTTTTTACTTCTCCTCCTCCCCCCTTTCGTGTATCGTGGCTATCATTTAAACTTAACCGTTCACCGGTTAAGTTTAAATGTACAAAAACATTGCTTCACTTCTCCATAAAATACCGAATATCTTTTTGGTCGGTATTTATCTGATAACGTGCGTTCGTACGTTTTGTTTGTGATCTCTTCAGTTTTTCTGAGTCAACAGGCTCATTTTGCAGATAAATGCGAGTGAAGGATATCTTTCGGTAAAATTGGACGCGCGTTGGAAAGCAGAAAGCTGGAGAAAAATATATTCTGCACTAATGAAGAGCTGAGGATCAAAATGACGTTTTACTTCGATCGTCGGGAAAATGCTGTAAATATAGAAACGAATATTCTACGAGAATTATCTGCAGAAAGAGACACAGAGAGGTAGATAACTAGAGAATTAAACGAAAGACGAATTAAAAGAACAGATGGCACTGATGAGAAATCATCGACCACCTTTGCATGTTTCTTCGTTTTTCACGCGCGAAACTCGTTTGGATTCCCGCTTTCCATCGCTGTTTACCGCACGCGCAACATGATTTCGCGATTCGCCGGAGAAAATCGGTTCCGAATAGATTTGAATTTCTCCGCAATATATATATATATATATAACAAAAGCGAGTATTTATCCGGCGGCGAGAAGAAAGTCAGAGAAAACGAGAGTGCCAGACGATTCTGTGGCCGAGTTTTTTCGTTCCTTCGCGACAATCGAAGAAATTTTCGTCTCGAGCGAAACATGGCGTTGATTCAGACGGTTTCATCGGCGATTCACGGAAAGCAATAATTTGGTCAGAGAGAGAGAGAGAGCCGAACGATTTCAGGAATGGTTCCTGCGCGGATCAGAAACTGCAACAACGACCGTGTGGTTTCGCTTTTTTGTCGAGTCGAAGGAAGTTTACGTTCTCGCAGCCTCGTTTTGCTCGATGCAGATTTGTCGTCGAGCGGATTGTCTATTTCCGATTGTTTCCACGGGCCGGTTGATCCGGGCAGAAAACCTCGATCGGAGAGAAATCGATTTTTACGCCGGCAAGCTCGCTCTCACGATCCTTCGTCGAGAGTCGATTGTGTTCGAGCTGCTCCGCGCGAAAAAAAAAAACGCTTCTCGTTGCTTCGCGGACTGTGTTTTCCTACTCTACGGTTATTAAACGTAGCAAGAAACGATCTTTAAGGAGACCTTTTAACCTAATTCGCACGAAACGATGCTGTTTGTTGCGCGAAGTATTTTTTTCATTTCACTGTGGTTTCAGACTTTTGTTGAACGTGATCGTCGTTTCGTTTGAAAAACCTCGTGTGTAGTTTCTAGCGAATGTGGCCGATTCTTGTACGAATTGTGAATTTCGTAATTACCTCGAATTTTTATTCCAGTCTCGTCTTAATGAAATTTAATAATCATCGCAACTGAATGAAAAATTTTTTACATCTCTCTGGTATTTGAGAAATTTTCTGAATGACAGAAGGACTTCAAGTTGGAAATCTCATATCTTTCCACGTGTCAAGTTTCTAGTAAGTGAGATCGATTTTTATGCCAACTTTATATCCTATTATCATTATCAACAAATTTACTCAAGAGCGCAACAAAAGTTTATCGACCAAAAAGATACAATTCCAAACCGAGACGCGAGTTTAGTTTCCTCGAGCCCCTCAAAGTACTCATATTTATCAATCTAGAAAGAACTGAAACGCAGTGAAGTCGAAATCATCTACTTTCGGTTCACCCGTCTAAGATCACGAAAGATGCCAACCCAGTCAAAAGAAAAAAAACAACCAACGAGAGCAAAGAACTGCAGAGAGAGAGAGAGAGAGAGAGAGAGAGAGAGAGAGTGCTTCAAAGAAAATGTAATAAAAGAACAATCGTTGGATAATCGTGTAAATTCCAGAGTACTGCACGGGTTGTCAGCTTACAGGTGTAGTATTCCATCATGTTCTGGTTGTAGCGATAGGCGGTGCTAAGGTCCATCGTGACCCCTCGGTAGCCGACGGCCGTCGGCTGTGGGAATCCAGCTGGTTCCTCTCTCGATCTCGCGCGTATAATGTAACGAAACGCGTCCAAAAGACGGTCGGTCCTATTGACCACCGACGACGATGCTCCTCGCACGTTTCCACAGCTCTTCCGATCGCTCTAGTCTCTTTTTTAACGGCGGCCTCGCCCTCGACCAGTCTATGGCTTGGCGGTACAATGACCGTCATCAGGAGCGTCTTTGTGCCGGACGACGGGTGGCTTCGACGAGCACCCGGTCGGCCGTCGCTTCATCTTCGTAAATCGGGATCCGTTATCCTCCTCGTCTTCTAGAAAATTTATTTATGGGGACACGCGGCCTCTCGGAGTCTCCTCTCTCACGGCACTCGCGGCATCACTCAACTGCACTGTCGCACCACGTCCACAATGACGGTACCATGGCCGAATCCTTGAACGAGTTTCTAGCTGTCCTCATCGTCGTCACCGGCCTGATGATCGGACGATTCACTCGATGTTCCTGGATCTTTGGACTTCGGTAGCTCGAAAGGGGCCTCGTTTTCTAAATCGAAGGTCGGAAAATTCACTTTCGGATCCTGGGAACTTAAAAAGATTTTGAAGGTGTTTGGCTTTTGAAGCTTATGATCGAAACATTGGAATTCCTGGAATTCGAGAACAGTTGTAAATCGATGAAATCGAAGACGATTTTGAGTCTCGAATTGGTTTCGTGGATTCTGAAATGATTTCTCGATATTCCAAGTTTTGGAGTTGTGAAACTGTCCGATCTGCTGGGATCGAGCGAGGGTAACTCTCAGTCACTGTACACTGTCCACTTCACCGTATCCAAAGGCTCACTCATCGAAACAACTATATCTAACTATATCTCAACCTTGCGAATCATCCTCTGTCTTCCACATCGAACGACAAAGAGTCTGTTTAGAAACAGTCCGAAACAGTTGAAGAATCTTCTTGGCGAGAAACGCGTCCCGTCCATGTTTATCACCCGCGAATCCGACCAACAGCCAATATCCAACCACTGCGAGGCATCATCCACGACCAACCGATCGATCGAGAGCAGAAATCCCAGACTGTTCGTCAAACACTCTTCAGTACAAAGACTCAACTGTCTCTTCCAGCTATTCAAACTAACTCAGTCACGTTCCGAGCATTCTCCACGATCGAGAACAACCCCGGAAAGCGAATCGAAAGCGATCCCGAGTCTTCGTTAAACGATCCGGGAGCAGCTGTCCGTTGCTGTTGAATATCGGCTCGAGTCGCGCCGATCTCAGTTAGGTCCCAGTGGCCGAAATAGGCAAAAAGGTTCTCGGTCACGTCCGACTCTCGTTATCGTTATCAGCCGCGGTGACACGGTGGCTGGACCCGAAAAAGCGGCACGGTCGTGCGGGTAACAACGACGTGAAAGCACGAACCAGGCTTCTGGCGACACTTGGGCACACGTGACTCGGCCCAAGCTTTTCGACCCCCGCCTCTATCGCCGAGCTTTCATCCCCACGCGAACTCGCAACCCCGCCTTTTGCATCCCTCGATCAGCATCCAGCCGGGAGGATCCGCGGCCACCATTGGCCGGATCGCGATCACGTGTGGCCGAAGTGGGGCGGCTCTTGGGTAACGCGGGGTTTCTACGGAAACGGCTTGAGCGTCGCGCGGGATAACGTCGTTATTGGCATCGGGAGCGCGGTGCGACGAAGAGAGAGCGGATGGCTGGCCGCCCTGCCGGAGCAAGAGGCAGAATCCGGGGATGGAAGAGGCAAAGGTTGCGAAATAAACGTTCGCCGGCTGGTCTACCGCCAACAGTCCCACGCGAAATCACGCGGCGCACACCCCCGTGAGCACTGCTTATTCATGAGCTCTGTCCCTCTCCGGGAGGTTCTACCTTGCTCTCCTTGGATACCATGTCTCGCCTTATCGATTTTATTTATTTAAGAGCTTTCTCTTTGTCGCTCCACTTCTTCCGTGAAGCGCTCGCTCCAACGTCGGCGCTTTGTCTCGACGCTTTTTTTTTTTCTTCTTCTTTCTTTCTTTTTTTACGCTCCCGCTGATCCAGGATCGATGAACAGAATCGAGGGGTAACGTTTCGATCGGTTCGGTGGAAATGATCGTTGTTAACGCGAGAAAGAGAGAGTGTTACTGTAGCTCTTGGGTTTGTCAGGAGATTACACTGTTATCTGACTGTTTCAGTTTGTGTCTTGGCCGAGGCATCTATCGCAATTACGTCACAGGTTGTATAGTGCAGAATATGTTCTTCTTGCACGAATACATTGTGGAGTGGTTCGGACACAGGTTTCACATCTTACGTATCATCGTGCGCAATTGTGGATCAAACGAATGTTTCACGAAAATTCGCACGCGTGTCCGTTTCGTTTGTCAGACCGAACGAGCGTAGACCGTGGGCATTTGCGCAGTAATCGAAGAGATTAAATCTACGTAGGAAATTGCCTTCAAGTATTTTACATCAATTCGTTTCAAATTGAAGCTTCCCATATCTCTTAAAATTCATTATCCTTCTTTCGTTCCAATTTTCTGAAACTTCGACTCAGTAAACAACTCAGAGATTCGTTTAAACCAGAAGAGCCATATTATTTGCGGCGTAACTCAAAGTTACGCGTATCTTAAATTTCACAAAAATGCACAAACCTCCACAGTCTACCAGCGAGTGAAAGCAAATTTCGTCTTCCTCGTTCGCTCTAAACACACCGTTACAAACAATTCCAAAATATGTACTTTCTACATCCGACACCAGGAACATGGTAGATCTTGAATATCTCCGAACCCAGTTGAAACGTCTATTTTAAACTGCTCGTGCTCTGAACAGTGTTGTCACAGAACGAAAGGCTTAACCCACTATCAAAGACACCGTCAAAGACAAGTCAATCTCTCGATCGCTGTGGCGAGAGCACAAGGCGTTTCCGACGTGGTTAATTACGAGACTGATTACGCTCGCGGGACAAAACAGCCGTGGACACTGTCCACGGTCCGTGGAGGATCGCAAAAGGTGGATGAGGGAGGAAAGGGCTAGGGAATCCGCAAGTTACGCGTGTCACGTGGGGCCTGGGAGGGGGGAAGCAGGAGGGTGGGGCACGATATACTGGTTTACAAACTGCGGCGCGCCCGCTAGGATACTTTTCCTTGGGAACTTGGCGCGCGCGTGTGCGAGCGTGTGTTACGTGCGACCGAACCGCGGTCGTGGTATAACATTTACGGTAATCTATAGATGCTCATTCGCCGGAAGAAACTTATCACTTTTATGCAGGCAATAACTCGAAAGTTAGGCAATGCACGATGCATTCCAATTACCCTTCAGCCGGCACCGAATTACTCACGGACCTGGACCACGGCCGATTTTTGCCACGCGGCAGCGAGTTACTGCGAGATAACGCGAGATACCGCGAGATATCGCCGGCCAAACTTTTCGGCGAAACGTACGTACGCGACGATTTATGGCGAGGGTTTGACCGCGATCCAGATCGCCGTTACCAGACCGACATCTCGATTTCGTTCCGTGCGATTTCCAACTTCTTTTCCGTTTAACCCTTTCGCGTAGAGACAGAAGTCTGTCTGTCTTTCTTGCGGCCTTGTCAACGAATTATCGAAGGAATCAATGGAATTGATGATTCGTGCTCAACTTTTATTTCAGTTCAGAGAATCCTCCGGTATGCACGATTTTTAGACGATGTTAGAGATTTCGTTCATTTGACGAAGCATCTTCCTACTTCTTTTTTTTTTCATTATATTAATCGATAATCTTCTCCTGCTCTAGATAAACGAAACTCTGTTCGTGGGGCCATTTTTTATTCGGATTGAAAATCTAACACACTAATAATTGTTATACAGTGAAGAGCATAACCGAATACGTGACGAAGTAATGATTGTCAATTGTCACTTGAAATTGTTATATCTTCGTAAAGAAAGATCATATGACAATCTTGGTTTCATTTAAAAAAAACTCATCGTTATGTGATACTTTTTACGAAATTATAACAATTTAAAGTATCGATAATTTTTTATTTAAATTAATTGCGACACATGATGGTAAGACACGATGATAGAATTTTGCTGAATAAGCTAAAACTTTTTTATTCTACATGCAAATACTCGATAAAATATTATTTATAATTGAAATTCCACGTGTGTGTTCAGTTTTGCTCGTCACTGTGTATTTCATAAATTTTCAAGCTGAATTTCCTCAAAAATTATTATTCTTCATTGACTTCAATCGTACCGCGAGTATCTGACCATAATTGAAGCTCAAATAAATGAATTCAACCAGTAGAAATTCCAGTTGGACATTGACTTGTAACATTAAATTTTTGCCAGCACAATAGAATTCTATTTAAATACCCAAACTTTAGAAAACAAATAGTTTATAAAACTGAACCTCGTGCGAATAATGCGTGAATAATGTGTGCACTTTTCCTCATCGTCACGAATCGTTCGTTTGAATTATAGATTAATTATTAATTAATTGAAAATGCATATAAAGATTAGTTATATCAAAAACACGAATCCATTCTTACACAATTAATTTCTTAATAGTTTTCAGTTACTAATTACTAGCTATTTTTACTAGTTTATCAAGTTTCGCTTGGTGACTAATTTAGTACACGTTCGAAACTATAGTCCCTAGAGTATTCCAACGTTTCACCCACGTGACCAAAGATCATTCAAATCACGGGATTCCTACATCTTGCCAATAATAAATCAGATTAATACAGGCGGTTATCCGACGGATTAGGAAGGACAGCGAACCTCCTAGCTACAGATTAGCCATCCAAGAGGACCAAGCAGTCACGTTACCCCAATGATCGATGCACTCGGAGCAACGAGCTCATCTGCATCTGCCCGTCCGACAACGCTGCACAACCACCATATCGCTTGGAATACTGCTAGCATCCAAGCATCAGCCTCCACCGCGTGCGTTTCCCAAGTGCGCGTTTCCCCTAAATTCTACTGCCGAATGTATCTCACGTCGAGTGCCGGTGCACTCATGTAGACGACATATTGCCCGTCAACGCGGCCCGAGCCGCTCGTTCGTTCAGGCAAATGATATGCCAAAGTGTAATCTCGAGAGATCCTTCAGAGATTAGGTCGGTCGACGCGATAATGACGAATGGATCTCCCGGTGCTGCCACGGCGCT